CCCAACGATTCCATCGAACTCTTGTCCGCTTGTATAAATGTTCTGCCTAACAACCGCGTCAGGCACATAAAAATGTTACGCCGGATGCAACTGACTATGCAGAAGTTGCAAGAAGAGAGAACCTAATGAGAGCCTCTGAAGCAGAGCTCTTCAGAAGGCAATGTTCAGACTTCGAGACGACGCACGAACGCACCAGCAGGCGAGCTGTTGTAAGCGTAGCGCGTCATGCGAAGTCTGAAGCAGCCGTAGTGAATTTAGTTGAAATGTGGAACAAACGTCCAATGATACCTAAGTTGCAGATCGCGTTGATGCAGCTTATGAAAACTTTGACTACAGCTCGTTGGAACGCTCAGAGCAAGAGAAAGAGGCAAAGAAAGATGTCAACGAGTTTTTCCACAAGGTAGAAGTTATTTGTAATTCTTCCGCTTTACCCAAAAGTATAAGAGTTTCCGTCTAGGTAAATGGCACCAGCGAGCCCGAGGATGCCGTTTTGGATTGGCGAACTCGTGTCAATGATCCTGTAAATACAGTTCTGATGCTCAGTAACCGTGCTCCTAAACGTATAACAGTGGCGGTGAGTGGCTTTCTTGATTAGTTTTTTCTTTGCTTATTTCCGCTACAATTAGGTAATTGTTGTGAATCAGTGGATCAGTAGTTGTTTTCAATTTTGGCAAATTAAGATTTTAATGTTTAGTCAGAGGTTTTTTTGTCCGCGTTTGACCAACTTAGCTTGATTTCAGACCTCGCTTCCGGCCGATAACTTTGCGTCGTTATTGGTGGCCAAATTCACAAAACGTATCTCACTACCGATCTCTGCCTGTATGGAACTTCTGTCAGGCAATTTATTCCTCAAAAGGTTTGCTATGGCTATTGACTGATTATTTTTTTTGGTTCGTCTCCAGTCCAGCTTTGGAGGGGGTTTACCAAATTATTGTTTCTCATTATTTTTTTTTGTTTTCAGATTCATGTTCTGCACATTTTGTAACACCATTGTGACGACACCGTTAGGTATCGAAGCGCATAACAAATCGAAATGTGGTGTAGAAGGGGTCAGTTTCATGTTTTTGGCTATATCTGTTCACGTTATTGGTCACATTTGATATCGCCACAATCAGTCGGGGGGGGGGAGTGGTGGGGAGGGGTGTCAAGAAGCATGGAATAAGCTCACCCATGGTATTTTCTACCTCTGGTTGTTTTCTACCTGAGCCGATCACTAACTGATTACTATTGGTAGAAAATGCAGCCAAAGGTGGGCTCTTCCACGCCTCCTGACATGCCCCGACTAATTGCGACTATACTAACTACATATAATGTTGTTGTTTCGTAGTTTGCAGAGAGGGGTCCAAAATAGCCTAGAAGGTTGGTGAGTTGTTGAGCAAGGCTAAGTAAATCTTATCTGCTCCGTTTCAGCTTGTCTCTCTGTATTGTCCGCCAGCGCCTGTGAACTCGCAGATTGAATGCCCACTGTGTTCAACGAAATTGTGCTCCATTTCGGCTATGAGGGGCCATATGGCCATACAACACGGTGTTTACGTTGAATACAAGAGTGTGACTCAGACGACAGCATGCGTTTCGGAAAGCAGTAAGTTGGCTGTTTCGTTGCTTTATAGGGAAATCCGCCATTGCTTTTCATAAGACCTGCAACTTTTGAAGACATGGTTGACAGTTATTCGAAAATTTGTACTTCTCACGGGGAGACGGTCACGACAGCGTAATTCGCCGCTCCGTCCCGCGCGGCGCTCTGTAAATTGTGTTAGCTTGCTCATTGGAACCCGCATTACAACTGGACTACGACATCGTAGGCATTTGTAGCTTTTTTTTGATTAGATCTCGCCAATCTATTATCTCCCCTTACCATGAGAATCATCCGCCATGTTACAGGCGCACGTCGCATGCGACGCTCACCACGCGTCAGTACGCTTGGTCTGCGTCGCATGCCCTTTTATTGTCTGCTAGTTCCATTTCAGGGTGTCCCGGCGCGGTCGCTTTTCGGAAAGTTGTGACGAAAGCTGCAAGTCATAATTCTAGACTTTCTTGGGTTTCTGCCGCCGTATTCGACTAACGCCTGAATTTTATGCTACTGTACGTGCCGGCTTGCCTGCGTGCCCCTCACCGAGACAATGTGTCCCCTGGTTGATTAAAAGTTGGTGAGGTATTTCTCGGAGAGATTTCTGATTTGAGACCTGAAATTACCTTGAAAGGGGCCTTACTGGCCTCACTTAAAATTGCTTGGTACTAGGTCTTGGGTGAAGGAACATAGAGGATGAGCCTTTGTGACACCGGTTGTTCGGCGTATTGAAAAAAGAGGGAAGGCGAGAGCTCTAGACAGAACTAGGTAGTCGAAGCTTTCTGGCTGTCTTGCTCACGCTTCGAGTGGCAGTAAGTAGCCGCATGTTGCAACCCGCTGTACCCGTAAGAATCCATCTCTCTATAATTCGTGGAGCTGTGTCTTCAAACAGCCATTCTCTTCCGTTTCTGCGAACAACATAAGTTCATGTTTTAGATGCAAGTCTACAAGAACTGGCGTCTCGTTACCCAGACACCAGGTCGGCGGTAGCTCGTGAGACTGATAGCGCCCTTTGGCTACGTTTTGGACTGTTGCAACCGAAGACGCAATTCGACATGCAGCTCAAATTGGCCATGAAGTGAGTCATCGTTAGATTATATGAGACAACTTCAACGTATTATTTTCTTTTTAGGGGAATCAGGGTATCAGGTGCAGATCGAAAAGATGGTCAGGCTAGCGGTGGTAGTACTCAAAGCACTCCCCGAAACATACAGCGCGATTCCATACAAGTTCCGGACGACCACGTAATTCCCGCCATTGAAGTAGTAAGTTTATTCAAAAGCCGGCACAAGAACCCAAAAGAAGATCAGCGATCATCATCACAACCACAGACACCGACCAGCAATCAAAACCTTACTCAGCACTATATCAAGCCATTTGTGCTGGTCAATGTAAGTCTGGAATACACAGGTTTCATTTGGCTTTTGATTTATTGATTTCGTGGTCTTCAGAACATGCTCCGATGCAAGTTCTGTGCCCACCAAACAAGTACACCTCAAGCGATGAGGGATCATTTACAGTCCAATCACGTTCTTGTGTGCCGTGCTTGTGGAAGTACGTTGCTGTTCGCTTTTTACATTTGTTTTTACTAGTGGCTCATGAATGCCCACGTATGTGACGGTTTTCAGATGGGTTTGCTCACCGCGAAGCGTTGACACGGCACGGAAAAATGGGACGTTGTTCGATGTTCTTCAAAGGTATTTACTGAATTTTTTTTCCATTTCAGAAGATGCCGGAAATCCCCTCCCAGGTCTAACAGTTTTACAATAACCTGTTTCATTGGCAAGATTTTGGGGATGAGGTGGCGCCGTACGGTTCGGAGGGGCACTTACATCATTGTCAGTTCTCCCGTTAGATGATGTTAACTAACGGGTCTGGCTTTGTCAAGCCTGTACACTCCTGTGAAGCTGTGAAGTTTTAAGTATGAGCTATTTGCTCAAAGGAATTTGCAAGTCCTCACAGAGTTGCCAGTACACGATTAGCCAGGTGCCATTTGCACACAAGTCAAGCGCGAAGTTTGCGCCGCGGCTTGTTTATCCGTCCTTTCAACGACACATTCGCCTTGACCATGTGGCGAGTCATGTGCAGCTTGCACTTTCCTTATTGGGCACTTTTTCCTCACTATGCTTAGCTCAGAAGGATGAACTGAAAAATGATCCGTCGATGGAAAGGGTTTGCTTATCTAATGACAAGTAACTTTACCCAGAATACCACTTAGGAATGTGCTTTTATGTCCATACTATCAGCAATAGATTTGCTGGGATTTCAGCCTAACCAGAGCTGTTCTGCTCACTGTAAAATGCTATTTCAGATGCGTCAGTAAAGCACATCTCGGCTGATTGTGGTGTGTGCAAGAAGCGGATGTCATTGGCAAACGCATACCTTCATCTGTTCCGTGAACATCTCAGTTCTGTGGTCTACGGCACAGTTTCTGGACAGGTGTGCTACCGTTTCGGCTTAGGAAAAATGGATTTTTGACAATTATTGACTGGTTCCAGGTCTATCCAGAACATCAAAATCTGCATATCGATGCAAGTCTTGGTGAAGCGACAAATGTTGTAAAAGATTCCGTCATCTACTCACCGTCAATCGATCAACAGCATTCGAAAGAGCGAAGTAGCCGTGATGTGGTTGTGTATAAGAGACCAACTCACGTAAGTTCATTATGTCTCGAATTAAACTACTCTTATGTGGCAAAGCGGTGTGGTGGGAGGTGAGAGACAGCGCGCGTGGTGTGAGCACTTACCACGCGCAGCTGTCCTGGGGTAAACCCTCTTAATAAGCCTCCCTCCGGCTAACAAATCTTCTGCGCGCGCCGACTGCCATCAGCGGCTGGCCCCCGTAAGTCATTGTATAGGCCACAGCGCCTTCAGTAAGCCACGGCGATCGGAATGGAAACAGTATGCCCACCGCATCCCAAAAAGGGACAGATTAACCGTGAGGACTTTATCCTTTTATTTTTTATTGCGCTTCTTTAAGGTGGTCTGTTCGTGTTATCTGTGCGGTATGGAGATGGTTAGCCTTGAACAGTTGCAAAGGCATCTCAGTAAACACACCGAAAAATGGACGAGATGTCCATTCTGCTATGGTGAGTTATAGTTATAGCTGATTTCCTGCTTCAGACATTATTCTCTGACGAAAGGAACAGCTTAGCTCGCCTGCTTTAGCGATATATTACACGGGATTACGTCGTTGGGAATCGTGTTCAAAATCTAGAGCTGAATGTTCTTGTTCAAGCGAGGCCAAAAAACCAAAGAAGAAGTGAAAAACTCTTTGAAAAAGACTCCTCTTGCGCGACTTCGAGCTGTCTGTGAGCTTACGGCAAGGGAACGCTAAGCGCTCGGATGAGAGTCGGAATTATTCAGTGTGGAAGAGAGCCCTCGACAACAAGATCCCTCTCCCCAGTACAGTCCTTTATGTGGGCGTCCTCGATCGTGACCAGATCGAGAACCGTGAGTCCCGCCGCCTTTTTTAGGTACAAGGAGTAGTTAAAATGGAACAAATTCCGTGGTTGCTGATCTGTCCACCTTATTCGTGATAGGGATTGTAGTCCGCGTATAATCGAGGCGTACTTCGTGCATTAAACACGAAGAAGTGTTTTTTGCGAGATGGCAACCATTCCTTTTTATATGATCTCTGTTTTGTTTAGATTACGTACCCATTCCAAGTCATGAAGTAATGAAGGCTCATTTGATGGAAAGACACATGCAAAAGAGGGATGGTTCATGGGTGAGTTTTGTGCTCTGGAAAATTTGTCATTGGCGCTGTTCAGCTTAGGTAGGAGGGCATTTTGTATCGTTGTTAGTTTCCTTTGCTGGCTCCTATTAGAGCGCGTTCATACTTCGCGGTCCCATCGCCGAATCACAGAGCGTTTTCCTCGCGCGATCAGATGGCGAAGTATGAACGCTCTTCAGAATTACGCATCCCTTCTTGATAAGACCTGTAGATTCTTGTCAAGTGTAAACGAGGCTCATACTACTGCTTATAGCTTTGCAAAAATTTATGAACCGACTTTACAAGAGAGATGAGGCGGTGATCAATGGGAACCACCAAATGCCCACACCAAACCGAACTGCACCTTTTTATTTCTTCAAGTTCTTTCAATTCTTTATTTTCAGACATGTCGATATTGTCAACGAATGCTGGTACGTGGCAGTTATGCGCATCTGTTGTACATGTGGCACCCGAAACGCGAAATTGTGCCCTATGTCGTGAGAGCAGGAGCGTGAATGAACGCTGCGTGAAATGACTGTCATTGACGAAGTAGACTTGATATCGTTGCGTAAGGTCGCCAGCTAAAATGTTGTATTCTTTGCGTCGGCTTTCAGCCTATCAGCGTTTAGTCAGTATAAAGTATGGTTGAATTTTGAGCGAATAGAAAGCTAAAAATGGAAAAGGATAAGGTCTTCGCCGTTGATCAATTCCCATTGGGGAGCGCGCACGCATTCTACTTCCATTCAGAATCGTAGTGGCTTATTGAATGCGATGTGGCCTATACAATGACTTGCGGTGGCCAGCCGATGTACAAGTCAGTGTTTTATCCTCCCAGACACACCACTGTTCGCCGTAGCCGGAGGGTAAGGGCTTGGTGCCTAGGCGGAATCTCCATATTTGAAACCCGGGACCGCGCGAGTGGTGAGCGCGCCCAACTGTCACTACACCACCTGCCCAACAGGAAGGTTTGGGAATTGATCTTGCGTTTTGAGCGTACGCCAGCGTTTTCAGCGACTGCCCGCGAAAATTCAAAGCACCCGCGAAAACGCTCAAGACGCTGGATCGATACCTGCACCTTTTTATTCACTCAAAACGCTGGATCGACACCTCACTTTCCAACCGCTCAAAACGCTCCCGTATGCGCAAAATGCTGACGAAAAGTATGAACGCTATAACGTTAATGGTTAATGTTGGTCACTACACGATTGCTAAGTGCCCTTAATTGCTCACATCAGGTTTGTTTTTAGGTTCCAATGTTCCGATTGTGGTATGACATTCTGTCATGTCGAGGATTTCTGGGCGCATCAGTGTCGTTCATACTTTATGCAGCAGAAATGCAGTTGTGGCTTTGTATATCGGTAAATGGTTTCGGTAGCTCGAGATGAATGTGCTGTCCTAACGAGCAGTTTAGGTATTTTCGTCACGAACTGCTTTCCTCTTGCATTTCGGAATGCATATGGATGAACCAAATATGACGTGTAAATTATGCAAATTTAGGTTTGCATCTCGGGTAGCTTTACAAGTAAGTATTTCGGTTGGTTTCAGAAATTTCAGGAGTGGAATGATTTTTTTTCTTCAGAATCATCGGCTTTCCCATGCGATATTGATTAATAGTTCCAATGGCCGTCAGCTAGTTATACTGGATACAAAACTGGTGGTGCCGGAGGTAGTTGCTGGACTGTTTGTCGTAAACTATTTGCGCCTTGCCCTCTTGTGCTTGGTATATTCTACCAAATGCGTTTTGTTTCAGCACCTTGATGACAAGCGGGTGAAACGTGTCAAGGAGGTCGAGCCATTGTCTGAAGAGAAACGATGTGAGTTTAAAAGGCAGATAAGATTTGCTTTATTTGTACAACCGCGATTTTCAATTCCTTCCGGGAGGCAACACGCCTACGAAACTTTTCCTTGTGAACCTTTCAAACGGCGATGGATGGTTCATGAAAGCGCGCGAGGCCATTCTTGCTAGTTGACCTGGAGTGATCACGCTTTGTCAATCATGACAGTCGCCTGTCATTATTCAATTTACCCAGTGACAGGCCGCAGCACTGTCACGTTAGAGCAGTCGTGAGAATGAAGTTGCAGTCCTGTTCGCTGCGGATGATGGGCCAGTAGGGATGCTTTTAGTACGCAATCAGACCCAGGTTCAAACGTTGTTGAAGCGTAGCAAAACGCAAAGACGTATAGTCCGGTTCAGTTATTTCACGCCAATTTTGTGGGCTGTTCCAGCCTTAAGCACTTGTGGAGAACGAGCTGGCAGGCATCACAGCATGCCAAGCTATCCCGCGCTGACCACAGCCCATTCATCCGCAGCGAACAAGACTATGACTCTTTCTGAACCTCTGGGTCTCATCCCTCAAAAAAAGGGGTGCTCAAAGAATAATCATAGTGACAGTTCACACCATCCGATGATGTACTGCTTCAGGCTCTCAGAATACCATAAAGGCACGTGAAAGAATAATAGTCATAGGTGTTTTGTTTAGTTAATATGGACATTGCGATGACTATGCGACATTTGGTTCGTAGCGTTTGTGAGCAACTCGGCGAATCATACGATACTGCAAAAGAATCTTCGCCACAATTGGATGCTGCTGCGTTAGATGTGCCAGATGATGACATAATTGAAATAGGTAAAATTAAATGATTATCTGTGTAGCGGTACTAATTGATGGGACTTCTTTGTTCAGATAGCCCTAAAGTAGACGATGATCTTGTCGAGAGCGTCGACACAACGCAGGCTGCTCTTTCGGCTGAAGTACGAGTAGAGGCTGCTGATGGTGTAGTTGATGCCGGATCGGGAATGCCTGGTTACGTGGAGGATGACGAGGATGATGCGATTGAATGCATCACTGCTGAGGTGAGACCACGTTCATTGACATGAAAGGAAGCGGTCTTCAGGTCCAGTCTGTAGTCGGGTGGATGAAACCTAGTAAATAACTTAAATGAAGTCTACTTGAATGAAATCACTAATATCTTCTTGTAGAAGTCGAAGAATGCATCGGCTAGCGCCGCCGTTGTGATTCCTGTCGAAGATGAAACTGCAGACGAGGACTTGAAAGTGGTTGCGGAAGTTGAATAGTGAGTTTGCTGTTCATTTTATTCTCGTAAAATTGATTTCTGTGGTAATAGTAGTAAGTAATCCTATTGCTCAAAGTATTGCTCACGAATCGAGTTGCAGTGCTCCTGGAAGCAGCGGAACGGCAGCGCCATGTGCTCGTGAGAAGAAGTTCAAATGTTCAAAATGCAGCTCTTCATTCATTACTTCGTATGCACTGAGGACTCATGAGATGTCTGCGCATAGTACGGATGCTGGAGGGATTTGTGACAAGGTAGGAGTTGGAATCGAGTTTAACTCAGACCCGATGCTGAACCGAGTCCTAGATTTACTTTCTTGCCAGGTAGTGGGGTGCGGAATTACAAAGACGTCTCACGCTATCGCGGCTCTCTGATGATTGACAATGGTGCTGCGGCGCACACACCGGTCAGTTGTATACGTAGCGGTGAGGGTACCTGTACATAACTGCATCTCGTAATGGCCGCAGCACCTTTATCGGTCATTGTGGAGCAGCGGAAGGCAGACAGTATTTGTGAATATGGGCTGCACTACTTGGACATGGAAGGAACCCTGCCAATTGGTTAACCGCTGGGCCTTATTTTTTTAAGAACAATAACAATTCAGTGTGCTATTTAGGTATTCGGTGTACCCGTGCGAGGATTCTTTTTCATTTGCCGTAATTGCTGTGCTGCTTTCGAAAGTCAACAGCTGTTCAAGGTTCATCGGGTGAACATGATCTTGTAAGGATAACTGGTGTTTTAGTTCAAGCTGCCAATAAAGAAAAACACAAGTTTTTAATCCAGCTGTATTTAACAGACCGTACGGTAGTGTGCAGCAACACGAACGACATATGACACAACTGTGGGTTAATGGTGTTAGTAAGATCTCTGAAAAATCGTTCTGTGGGCCAGACTCCCCCCCCCCACCTTTCTCATCCTGCGTGCCATCTTGCTAGTCTTCGAACTCCTTACTGGTTCTCCAGAAAGTTGAATAATTTTTGATTAAAGTTTTTCTTTATAACTGGCATCGAGAGGGGGTGGAGGGATGAGAGGTTGGGGTATCTTTTCTTCCAATCGACGAAATTTTCCATTTTGGAAAACTCTGGATTCTTTTGAACGCCTCCCTCTGAAACTGTCCCGATTGAGCATGTTAATATTTCAAGTAAGATGAGTAGTGTTGATGATTTATGCCAAGAATGAACGAGAGAGAATTACTTGTTATCGGTATGCTTGGATTACTTATCCATGCTCAGTGGTCGTATTTTCAGTTATCTCACGGCCCCACGGGTTCGGTATCGTGTGGAGAATGTTCGGCGATTCTTAGCAACACACGCGCTCTACGAGCATACCGTCAAAGCGCAATGCTACAGACAGCGCGGATCGAGGGCTGTTTTATGGATGTAAGGGCCATTGACACGATTTGATTCCGTGACGGTATTTTTTTACATATTTTTCCACTTTAATAAATAATTAATGGCCTTTCTTTTTGGACTGGAACGTCAATCTAAGATTTCCTTTTCAACAATGCGCCCCAACTAGTATTTCGATGCATGTTCTGTCTATGTTTCCATGCTTTTCGAGGGTGAAAATAACTGGGGAAGGACAGCAAGACAAAGCCACATACAGGGGGGCCAAAAAAAGTCATTTCGGCCGAGCCACATATCAACGAAGTTTTCGCAGCCCAGACAGGGGAAGTGGATATGAGTACAAGGTGGAAGATACCCAAGATCTTCCTCTATAAGCTGGAGCAACCTTGCGCAATCGCCTTCCATGTACGCCAAAAAATATGAAGTCATCTCCAGTCGCGGCCTGACTGGAGAACACCTTTGGAATTCACGTCGCCTCCAAACAGCTGCGAAACTTCTTGAATGAAGTCATCCACAGATAGCTACCTGGAGGTCAGTACTCTTGATCTGCAAGACCTCCCACATCGAGCAGCTACGGCAACGTCGCTACGGTCTAGGACATCATCTTCACCGTATTCGCCGAGGCGCGAGTTGATGGTATGGACCGGGGTACCTGGAAAGGGGAAGACCGATATTTTCTTTGTAGACCCCGACTGAAGGTGAGCGCTGGCGGTTACATCAAGTAACTCGAGAAGAATATCCTCCCTACATGTGGTCGCCCGTACCTTCTTGGAGACCTTGTGCTGCTACAGGTTTGGGTGCCACCACATGGAATCAAAGGGTTTTGGAAAAACTCCCGCCTACTTCGAATGGAAGGGCGTTTCGTACCTGAAGAAGATGTAATATTGAAGTATGTCCCTGACCTGAATCCACTCAGTTACCTAGTCGGGCGGAGTTCAAGAGGGTGGTCTACGGTGGCGGAGAAATCAACGATCTCGCTCAACTCCGGTACCCACTCACTTTCGCGCGGCCGAATCTCTCGATGGCGCTCCTCCAGAAGGCTGTGGCGGAGTATCATTATAGTATTTAATGTGCTCTTTAATATGGTAGTAAAAATGTCCGATAAAAATTTAATAAAGTGTAACTTATAGCGCCTTGAAAGTCATGGAGGCAAAATGACTTTTTTTTGGCCCCCCCCCCACCACTGTACATCTCTATTCGTCTGCGGTCTCTCAGAGATATAGTGTTCATTCAGCGAGAGACACCAGCATTTTTACCCTATGAGACATACCACATTTGGCATAAGGGAGGATTCTGCTGAAAACGAACCCCGCTCCCCTCATTTTCTTCTCCGACACAACTTCCTTTCACGACCACCCGACCATGTTGCCAAAAGTTCATTTTGCCGCTTGGAGGGGTGGGGGGGGGGGGAGGAGTAGAGACCATGATCTATGACTCATCTTGCTGGGTCTCCGACTAGATGGTGTAGTATGCATGAAATGTGAAAAGAAATGGCAATGTTTCAACAATCAGAAAAAATCCCCTTAGGCCAAATAGGAACCCTCCCCCCTCCCCCCAATGGCTAAATGCAGCCGCTTCCTGTGACTTAATGCTACCGCCACTGAGGATCTCCAAGGTACGGTGAGCCCTGCTCGAGATAAGACGATTAAAGAAGAACGTGACATAGCCTTGCCCCTGAAGTCAACCAAACCCTCCAACTCGTATTTTACCTTCCCTGATTTTTTTTCTGTGTTGACCTCGATCGTAGTGCTTTGTATTTTATTTCTCTTTTTTAGGACGCTCGTCTGATGTACCATTTGCGTGAAGCCCATGGTGTGTCGCTGTTCTTCTTCTGTAAAGCATGTCATTTGGGTGGCACTCATGAGCGAACTATATATGCACATGTAGCAGTAAAATCGCAGCGATGTCGTCAATTTGGCGCACAGAAAAACTGGGTATGATTAGTGCCATTGTTTTTTTAGAACCTCATTTCTTCTTTCTTTCTTCTTCATCTCTTTTTTCACAGTTTGTCTTTTATTCTGACCCTTTTTAGAACCAGTCACCATGATGGCTGGGTGGAGTTTGTCCTACCAGTGTACTTCATTTCCAGCCGAAAAGTATAGCAGCACATGAATTCAGTTTGGAACGCAGTGGGGTAAGCGGACTTGCACATAATAATATCATGTTATTAGCCATTAGTTCAGAACTGCTCGGAAGCCTTCTCTCTTTAGTATCGACGCTGAGGATGAAATAAACATCACTATCTTAGGTTGTAAACAGTCTGAGAAGCCTTCGCAGTAAACTAAAGGATGCACCTATACAACACCGGTCTTATATGGGCGCTTAGGGTGTTTTCAGAGTATTTACCGACCTTTTAGGTTTTGGTTTTCCTCCTTTGTGCTGCTGAGGAGAGCCTTTCTCCAAAAGACTTCTGGGAGGCTGAGAGCGTGTCCTGAATGTCCAGGTCTGGCACTAATTCAGAGTGGTCCACCAGTCGAGTGTAGTGTGCCTAATGCATAGGAGAAAATCATCTATGCCAAATACACCCCCCCCCTTCCTCATTGGTTTAGAGTTGTGAAAGCCCCTCCGTACCATGAGATTGATTCACGGTAACCCTCTCGTAGTAGCTTATTGGACCATCAATAAACCTTTTGAATCGATTCACTGATTGAATTGAAAGTAAATTTATCGCCTGTAGGGGAGCGGGGTCAAGTGGTTGTGTAGTTTCCCACTGGTGCTCTTTTCCTTTAAGAACTTTTTTGGTGAGGGGCACGCTAAAGAAAAATGCGCAATCTGGCCCGGCTTCAGAGGGAGAGCTATGCTATTCCTCGGCGAGTCAGGGACCGGGTTTGTTGCGGCACCCAGCCCGGTTTCCACCAGCTGTCGCCTGCCTCTGTGGAGAACGGATTGACGCTGCAACAAGCCCTTGACACGTCCCAGCATTCGCAGGGAAAACAACAGCAGTCCGTCCCTCTGCCCCTCTCCCAGCTGATAACATTTCCTCGTTATCTTTTTTATATCACGTTTTGGCGTGATGTGATTTTATTGAATACGCGCAATATCTTTTAGTTGGAAAGTCGTGACCCCATCGGAATGTGTACATCGTTCGTTCCTAGCACCAACCGATTCGCTAATAACCTGCAGGGATTGCTTCTGCACGGTTAGCAGTTATTTTCCTTACCGTTTTTGGAACACGGACAAGACAGATCGAATTTCGTGCGCGTCGTCGCGCGCGGGTACGTGCTCGCAGAACGCGGCAAATCCGCGATCAGTTAATATCAATATGGTATAGTAAAAACTCGCCTGCACTGAAATTCAAGCGAAGACAACTCTCCTTGACGGGCCATATCAAATTTTCTAAACACTTTGGATTGAAACGGCCAGGCAAGATGCCGTCTTGCGCAGCGTCGCTCGCCGCGCCTACAACGTAAACGCGCGAGACGACGAAGTTGTCTTTTGTCATGTTCTTATTAGATTGTTCATATGAATAACAACCAACCACCCCCTTTTGATTTAGTTTTGAAAATATTCTACGTAGGAATTGAATATGAAAGCAATTTTCTTTGGATTCTGAATTGTGGTTCCATCAGTCTTCCCAGGATTCGATGATTTTGAATTTCCAGATGACAGCCGCGTCGTTCACAGCAGCGGAAACCTTCAGGAACGGAGGAGTTGTAAAGGTTAGTTTCAGATGTAGCTTAGTTAGTGGTATTTAGCCCTTCATTACTGATCGACCATCTAGACCGAGTCAGCGCTAATTGTCGTTTTACAGGAGCTGGCAATGACGCTCGACAACAGCTTAGAATTTCCATTCAAAGGTATTTACGACCAGACACCTGTAGAGGGAACATCTACAGTAAGTCCCATGGCTACTGTTCGAGAAAAGGCAAACTTTTTGTAACCTTATTATTGAAAAGGAGCAGTTCGGCGACGGGGGAGGGGGCATGTTGCATTGTCGCTGCTTTACTAGTTCCGGTTTACAAGTCTCACTCCGGTAAAACAGTGAAGACTTGTAAGCTAATAAAATAATTGACTAGATCGATCGACATGGATCGATGGAACTAGCGAACCCTCCCCCCCTCCTTGCCGACCTGCCCATTAAAAATTGGAAGCAAGTTACAGAAACATACCATTATTGATTTTCAGGCGCCAGGACGTGCGCTAATACCAAGACCACCGGAAATCCAAACAATACCAAGCAGTGCAATGAACAACATAAGGACGCCTCGGACACACTCCGTGTCGCATGTCGTCATGCTATCTCTCTCGATCTCCTAAGGCTCATAATCCCCTCGACTGGCTCAGCGAACAGCCCCATTACCACCACATCCCCTACCAGTTGGCGCACGAATAGCTGCAGTTGCCCCATTGATGAGCAATCAGACTAGTACACTGCCGGTTAAGGTCAGTTCAAAGTTACTGTTCGCATAATTAACTGTTCTAATGGTGTCTCATTAGCGTCGCCCTGGTCCAAGCTCGGATATAATCACCTTGAGTGACGACGAACCTGGTCCATCAGCTGCAAAACGTGCAGCTCCTTCATCTCTGCCAGTCGCACCATCACCATTGACTCTGAAAAAGCCTACTGATAGTGCTAATCGATGCAAGGTAAGGTATTTAAATTTACTGTTCATTATACTCGAAGCGATATGATCGTTTGACCATTTTGACCCGAAGATTAGTTGCGCGCAGCTAGGTTACTCGATTAAAGGGCAGGTGCACGATTGCCTGAATGTTGGAGTCGTTTCTGGAGTGAAGTGAGGCAGGTAGGTTGGAAAATACTGTCGCGAGCAGCCCGCGAACTCGCCCCAATTTTGGGGTAGCGGAATAAGGAGGTTCTTAATTTGGAACGCCCTTTTGGCTACTTTTTTTTTTCTACTGCGGCCTCCTTCACATTTGTGTCAGCTATATCCACCTTGTAGTTCCTATAAATGGTGCCATATCCCATGGTTGGCTATCCCCCCATTGTGCACGCCTGTCTTAAGTCTCTACGACCAACGCGGCTTATGCTGTTGCCTCAGCGATGCCACCAATGGCTTCTCTTCCAAAAAACCATGCTTCAGATTTTGTGATGCTGGAATGCCCCGTTTTCCTGCCCCCACACCCCCCTCAAATTTTTCCCCCCAAGTCACTGCATGAGCTTCACAGGAATGGCATGGTAAGAATCGTATCTGCTAAGCAGTTCCTAGATTTTTTGCTGTTGAATTATTCTCAGGAAAATTGTTGTTAGTTCCACGTTTCATCCACCATTTCATGCTGTTTTCAGAAATGGTTCTGTTTGGATTGCGCCAGTGGTCAAATGGATGAGGTGGAGGCAATGAAGCATTATTTCGGTACACATGTGAAGGTTGCTGAACAAAAGGCTGCTGAGAAAGGTATTTGATTGAGCCTTTGTTGATTCGTCTTTTGAGCCTATGGATAATGCATGTCTTGCGGCTATTCCTCCAAGTTGGAGAACATTGGTGTAATAGTTCGTGCGGGTTACGGTAACCCCACTTACACAAAAAGTTCCTTAATGCCTCGAGCAACCATCAGCTTCCTCCCTGAGCCATTTCTTCGATTTTTCTTGAATGTCGAACAATATCTAAAGTGAGAAATATTGTGAGCCAGGGGAATGTTGATTTCCGCTAAGTTCAGAGAAACCTTCAATTCTTTGTGGGGATGAAAGCCCTTGTCCCTTGGAGAGAAGCGAGTTCGTGGGAAGTTTCTTACACACCCAGAACTCCTTTTCTCCTTGACTTGGACAAGGATTTTCGTATGTGTGATAAGACAGTCGGGTTTGTGGCGTGGCGAGCGGCGCCGGACCCTTGGGACGAGTTGCCTTGCCTGGCTATTCAGATTAGGATGTGAAAGGAACGTGGATCTATATCATTCGGCATAGCGTCGTGCCTTAGCTAGAGTTGATATCATTTTCGCCCCTCTAGTAATGAAATTGACGCTCATTGAGAAGTTGCCGCGCATCGCCCCACGATGCGCCGCGCGCGAAGGCGCGGCAGATTGTGATTGTCATGTCCGTATCTCAAAATCTTCACTCCCTGGCCTGCATTTTCTTCGCGCTACACGGGAGGCCCCATATTTCCTAGGTAATTTCGTTCCTGCTTTCGCAATTTATGAACAAAGACCGAAGAAGTAGCTACTGGTCCCACTGCAAGCCGTTATCTTGCTCCTAGCACTGCCTTAATCTTCGTATTGTGTACGCACACAGCGATCTTCTGCGCAAAACTGTGATTACCGTAATGAACACGAAGTGAACCATCAAATCGCCCCACTTCGTTGGATCAGCTCCTAGCAATTTTTTTCACTTTACCTTTACATACGCTCTTCCAGGGTTACTGTTCCGTCCACTGCATTACGAGCTGCAGTGTCCTTTCCCAAAATGTCGAGAACCGTTGTCTACCTTGACCAATCTTCGTATTCATATCAACAACAAGCATCGAAGCGAGACGTCTTATTCATCTGCGTAAGTTTTGTATTCCTTTTAGGTTTTAGACTGTCTTATACTTGTATAAGGATTTCAGAGGCAGTGGGCATGATTGTGGAGGGGGGGGGGGGGGGTGGTTGTTGACAGCGTCACCGGTGGAAGAACTGTGACAGGGCGTTTGGTCAAGCCCATTCAGCCCTTCCACCAGTGACGTTGGCGACCCTCAGTCATCGTGCTCATGTACTTGACAGCAGCAATTCTAGCTTTTTCGGTCATTTGACATTTTTTTTGGATTCTATATAATCGTGGTACTTTGTCTCCAAGAAAGTAGCGTTAGTACTGGTAATTTGAATATGTTTAGAACCATCTATAACAGTGCATATGTTCGCGTTTCTTGTCTCTCGTTTTGCTAATCGAAACATGACGCCGACAGCACTCAACTTATGAGAGGTTATTTTACATTTTTTTCTGGAATGAATGCTGTTCAGTGCGATGTCTTATTGATCCGCAGTGTCTCGTAGTAAATGCACTACGTTCTTCGCTAAGGCACTGGGGCGTTTGAGGGGCTGGCTTTAACACGGCGCCAGATACGTTCTCCACCAAGTTGTGCTCGACAGACAGGCTCACAATCGGTGAAAGAAGGATCGGCGCCGGTCACAACCCGCCTCTTCTCCTTGGAATGCCTTCAGTGTCCGCAGGATACAACGATTACGATTCTGTAGGGGTTACATAGTCTCTCGTGGTTTAGCAAAGGTAGTCGCAACTGTCGATAGTAATGACCTGCGTGCTTCTTGACATAAATTTTCTGTTTATTTCCGTTCAAAATGTTTATTTTAGTGTGAATGGTGTGGAAGGCACCTGCTGTCCGTTATGTGGCACTCTGAATCAGTGGAACATTCAGGTTTGTGTGTTTTGTTTTACTGTTTTCATGTTCACCGTATCTGCCACATTTTTGGAATCAATATTATTATACATAATAAGGGGAACAAGAAAACGGAGACGTTTCATTAACATATCATTCGATCGTTAACATGCATTCGACAATCGTTCGAGCACTGCTGATTAGGAACGCGGTTTTTGACGTTTGCATAACCCTTGCTCGGCTGTATGCTGACCTTCTATCTGACTATGGGAGTTTAGTAAAGTCTGAAGATTTGTTTACGTAACTCGTGACATCGCGCTGTAAATCTTGCTCACTATTTCACCGCGCTACTTGAAATGACGCAGCGCGCACGTGAATCGCGAGTCCCAGCACAATATGACGCGCCCGTGCCGCCCGCTTTGCAACTTTTTGCAACATTTTTTTCACTCTGTTTAAAAGCATAGGATGGCGGCTTGGTACGTAGTGGTGGCCGTATCCACACAATTACTCCCATCAAAACTCCTTGCTTCTCTCGCTATAAGCAGCCAGTGCGCAAATTGTTGTTTGAGTCCCCTGATGAGCATGGAAGGATTACTCAACGATTGCTCGGCTATAAATGCCTAATTTCATTGCTTACAGATGCCTGGCACTTCGTATACAATGAGCCATATCGCTGTTCACGGACTTCGTCGGTACCATATGTGCCGTGATTGTTTCGTCTGCTTCAAAGGCGATTATGATGTAGGCTTTTGTATACTTTCTGCGCCTTCACCCCTTTGTTGTTTTTGTTTCGCAGCCGAAGTAGTGAACATTGGAAGTTTAAAATTGAATTTCAGTGTGTTCGTATGAAGACACATTTCGAAACTACGCATTGCACACCGATACCAAGGACAAACAATCGGGAATTATTGTGCAAGCTATGCAGGGAAGTGATTTTGAAGTCACATCTTGCTGAACACGTCATTGAGAAGCATTTGGTGAGTGGATAATTTTTTTCTATTATTTGAGGTTTATTTGTTTGGTCCCTATTCGAACCTTGGCTGAACAGCCCCAGCTGGGTCACAATCATCCTGGTCGTTCGTCTAGTGCTTCCGGTATAAGTGTTCCGGTTACCGGTCGTGGTGATCGCCGAGCGTTGTTCAGCTTGGGAGGGGCCCTTTGCACTTTCATTAGTTCCTTTTGCTGGGTCATGTTAATAACAGGCCTTATTTCGGTGAGACCTGTAAACTCTTATGAAGCTGCGGAACGAATTTATAAGCCTTCACAAGGTATTCTGTTAATGCTCAGCTGAGTAGTATTTGGTGCTACCGAACAGAACGGTGTCCGATTGCACGGTACTTTGAGAAGAGCTCTGTCACGATTGTAAAAGCTGGTGGGGTTCAAAAACGAAACATGTAGGTGGTAGGTGACATGGAAGTGAAAAATGTAAAAGAAAGGGCGTCGAAAGAGCCATGTATGAGGCCTCTTCGATTTCAGGCTCGGTACGAGTTTTCCAGAATTGCTGGCTCCCATGTGTCACCAAATCGGGGCGCAATTCGGCATGGTGGGGGCACAGTGCCACTACCAAGCCGAACTTCTGTCAAGTCCTGTAAGCTAGTAGCATGAGACTCGTTAACCCTTGACAAGGCTCTCTCTTATTCGAGCTGAGATGTTCAACAGGAATTGTAGCGGAAAATAGCAAGGGTGTAAAATGCATTCCGCCCCTAAGCCAGCGCCCAAATTTATATGTCCCACCTCTGTGGATCTGATTTTTTGCTTTTTTTTCTGAAGCATAGTTTGTGAGACCGAACCCAAGGATCTGCAAGTTTGAAGAGCCTACCCTCGACCTTTTAGTGGTCCCGTACCTCTGTGATAATGAATGCATTTTAGGTAACTGGCTTCAAATCACGAGATCCGAAAAATCAAGGGAAGTTAATCGTGAAGACGGGCGCAGTGACGCGGCGATTCCTCGGATTTGAGCGCATCTATCACGTTGGTGATGATTCCGATATGGATTGATTTTCTGTTTTGTTCCGGTTCCATATCATTTAGAATTTATTGTGAAGTGCACTGTTAGGTTCCACGTTATCCTTGTTGTTACATTGTTTGCGAAATCGCTACCGTAGCAGGTATTTACCCCCTCTGAACCGTCCACCTGTACGTTATAGTCTGTTATTTGTTGTAGTTGTGTGGAGCTGTACCTATGCTCGGAGAACTGGCCGTCGACCCATGCGAGTCATATGTATCGATTGTTACCCGGCGTTAGGGGCATAGGGGAGGGTGCCTGGTGCCGCAGGACTGTCCAAGACTGCCAGTAGATGATGGCCTGGCTGACGCTGGTCGCGGAGCGTAGGTACAGCCGAACCAATGATCGTCAGCAGCAGTTATAGGTCCACGAGTAACTTACTGCATTACTCTTTTAGGAGACGGTGATTTTTGTTGTTATCCAAGTGTTTATTTGAAATATTAATGTTTAAAAAATTAGTTGTGAATCATCGAAGGTGACGGACGTATAGACGTTGCCTAAGAAGTTGTAGTGCTTAACGTGGTTGTTAAGTGATTGTTTCACTGATATCA